GGAGGATGGGTGACGCAGCTGGTGACACTGCTTTTATCTCAAACTGACACAGCCATTCTTCATTGAAACAGAAATTCATGAGTTATAAAACGCACTTGCACATACACGTACCTCTGAAGTGTACAGATTGAGAGATGGAAGCTAAACCCTTAAGACCGGTGACTTCGGTCATTGCCAAGGATGCACTGGATACTCGGGTTACAGGCTGACAGGACATGAGGAGCATCTCCTAGACAGTTAAGAGCTCCCAAAAGGAATACGGAAACTTACTTGGCTCATGTACCTAACATCCCTACTCCTTACATTACATCCGACCGAGCCTTTTCCGATGGTACTAACCTTCCCACTTTATTCTTAGAGGTTCATTCTATCATAAAGCAGTATGACAGAAAGGTTTCTTTCTGAAACTTGACTTGAAACAAAAAAGGAAGATACAGAAAAAATGATTAAATTACTGTATCAGTTTAATCATTCTTATTTGAAATCTTGTGTAAAGTTAGTACTGTCAGCTGGTATCATTTTGTCTTTCCCTTCACTTGCCTTTTTGTTGTTGGAAGCAACTAATTGTTTGTTTGTTTTTTTCCATTTGGGAAAACGTTTCCCAGCTTATGTGATCACACAGAAAGAAGCTGAGGGCTTACCTTCTGTCAACACTCAGACTACTTAAGAGTAATACATCTGTCTTCTAAGTAGAAGACGTTTGGACACGGTGGTTGCTACAAACGGTGGTGAGATGATGACTTAAATTCACATATGGAAAGGAATCAAGACCGAGAAACTAGTGACTACAGACGTCTCCCCAATGCGTTATCCTAAGAACTCACTCCGTCTGTCTGGCATGGTTTGGTCTCAACCAAGCTGCCTTTTTCCGAGCGCTTCTTCCCACAGGGGAAAGGCTCACATACGAAAATGACTGTCCGAGGGCGATGAAAAGCTCTCTGTACTTCAGAGAAGCCACAGGAAAGACTCGTGGGCTTGTGTTTCCCAGGACAGATAATATCTGAAAAAGAAAGCTCATTTCCTTCCTTCTTAGACCACCAGTAGAATTTCTAGAAGGCAGGAAAGAAGACGGGCTTTAACCAGATGGGTTACGAATATTTCTTCCTCGATCCACAGGAAGTTTGATCCTGTGCAACACTGGCTGCAGAATGGAGATCCTAGGTGAAGAAGTAACTTAAGTGTTTGGAGGGATGTTAAATAAAAAGAACATGACACCAGAAATGAATGACTTATACTAAGCGTGGAAGCAAGATTTTATAATACTAGGCTCAAGGGAAACAAAGCATTTGTTCCAAGACTAACAGCAGTCTCAAGCAAAGTGACTTACACTGAAGATGGAAGTCGATCTTCCATCCTCAGAGGAAGAAGCACTCTCAGTGCCTGCTCAGGGGGACCTGCTTCTCCTTTCCCCAATCTAAGAACTCCAGCTCCAGCGTGGCTCTCAACCATGAGCAATTTTCCTGCACTGTTTTGAAACAATCAGCCAAACTTCGCATAGCTCAGATATTGATTGAAGCGGGAACAAAAACATAAAGCGCCAGATCTTTTTATGTTTATCTTCTACAAAAGTCATTTATGCATTAACTGTACAAACAGGAGAGACTAAAGAGTCTTCTGGAAACCACTTCTGGCTGGGATAGCTTATGCACGACAAGATTCTTGATCATTAGTAGGTCTCTGACTATAATGCAATCAAAAAATATTTTTGAAGTATGAACAATGAAAGTTTTCCTTCCCTTAAGTAGAAAGTACTAAATATACTGCTTCTGTCCACAAGTGAATCAAGAAAAGTAGGTCTGGGAGGAAGGTGGGCATGGGGAGACAAGGTAAGGGTGCACTCTGTCTAAGTGAAAGACTGACACATTTCAAAGTCCAATGATGCCTCTCTGAAACGTTCACAGTTGAGTGAAGACTATAAAAGGAAACACCAGCAATGTTGTCTTACATTCGGCCTAACAATCATCAGATTTCAATGCAGTTTGAACTTGCGGTGGAAACAAGCTGAGAGGAGCGATTTCTCATGAGGGCTTTCCTGTCCTTCATCGAGACATCCTCCTGGGGGCCCCATGCACCTTGACAGTTCTAGTCTTCACCCACCGTGCTCCCCTCCACATCTGCTACTACTGGAAAAAGAACCGTGAGGAAAACGGAACTCATCAACATGGAGTTGTTGCAATTTAAGCTCCATGTCTGGGGAAGAACTTAATTCATTTGCTTTCTTTTAAGGTTTCTTACTCAAACATGAAGATTCTGTCTGCACAAGATGCTTTCCCTAAAGTTATTGTTATAATGAAAGATGCCTATCAAAGGTAGATGGAATCCAGGAAGAAAAGAAAGGCGGTGGGGAGGGGGCGGGGCACTAATGTGCTCCTGGAAAGAGAATGGAATCACATTATATTGTGAAATACGATCACACACGATACGTCCAATTAAAACATCTATGTGTTCGCCAAGGTACAAAATTCATCAGAATGATGCTCTCTGACCAGATGTCAAATCAGCCACCAAAACGGCTAGACCAGGAAGCCCTCTCCAGGGAGGGGCTAGTGCCAGATTTTAGTCACAGCTATGAAACCAAGGCTGCTAACTGCAAGGTCAGCAGTTCAAAACCACCAGCCACTCAGGCAGAAAAATGGGGCTTTCTACTCCCATTAAGGGTTACAGTCTCAGAAACTCCCAGGGGCAGTTCTACTTTCCCTATCGCATGGCTATGGTAGCGAGTTTAACTTGGTATGCCATTTCAGGGTGCAATCACCATCGGAATTCATGGTGTTTTATTTTCTAATCCATTTTGATGATTTTTCTATAGGAAGTTGTTTCTTATTATCAAACTACACAAATATTTCTAAAACTTAGCAACAATTCAAGATGCGTAGGGATAGCCCCACTCTTCTTGGAGGTTGATGGGGGTGGTAATTAACACAAATCACACTAATTAACATAAATTAGGCTAATTAATATAAATGACACTGATTAATATCCATTAGGCTAGCCACTCTGCAAGGTGAGCACCTTAGAGTCACTCAGACTCAGAAAGCGTCCTTGGTCTACAGGGAAAAGTAAGGAAAGGCATTTTCCAAATGCCTCCTTGAAATGGTACCATAGAGGAGCCTTTGAGGAGTTAGCATTTTTTTATAGCTAGATTACTCTTCTTGTGACTTCCAGAAAGTTCTAAAATGTTTTGTACTGGAAAGGGCTCTTAGAATTATGAGTGAGAGAACCGGATAGTACTGCTTCCCCTGCTCTTTCCTTAAATGACCCTTCCCTCAAAGGCCAGTGAGTCTGGACAGATGCGCCCACTAAGAGGAAGGCTGTGGCTAGCCATCTTTTGCAAATTACAAAATAGACTGCTGTAGAGCGTTTCTCCAGCTGAGCATTCTCGTCCGCCTACTTTCGTTGGACTTAGGCTCGGCTACAGGTAGGGCTAAGACTGCAGGGACTGGGGTGGGCTTTAGCATGCGGCACAAGCCACGCCAACAGGAATGGGAATGGAGTCAAAGTACACGTGAAACATGAAAGGGAAACTCAAAGGGCTCCTGCCTTACACAGTTCGGAAAAGGGTATCCATTGTCTTCACAAAGCTAGGAGGCCTCCATCTCAAACTGTGAGTAAAGTCACTGAAACCTCCGCTTCCAAGCCAGGGGACTGTACCCAGCAGCAATGAGAACCCTCCAGGAAGGAGAGCCACCGAACTCCAAAGGGATTCTGGTGACTTTCCAGACTCTTGATGTCTAGGCTCTAGAAAGACAATCTCCAGGACGCCTTTCCTAGGCCTGCCATGTTGCCAAGAGAAAGCGCGGGGACTACGACTGAAACCTATGAACACAAGTCTACGGTCACGCTTCTTTCTAAACGATTCAAGCAGGTCCAAGCCCGAAGGCTGCCATTCCCTTCCAGACGGAGAACGGCATCCGCCTAAATACAGGACTGTGACTAGCAGGTATGCAATAGAAGCAGAGGTGCAGTAAAGAATACACAGTCTGCCTATAATGAGTTATTTGGTGAAATACTGGATTTAAGGGGGGCATTCAATTTGAATCAGCTTCTGGAAGATTTGAAATTCGGGACTTTCTTCAAATCTCGTGCTGACTAAATACAGCATGCCTTTGGGTTAGAGAAACCTAGAGGGGTCAGAGAGAAAAATTTCAACATGGGATTTACTCTGCCTCTAATCTAACCTGTGTCATCCACAAATCAATGCTGAAACGATATTAGAGGTTATATTATTACTTCTTATACTAGCATAAGAGGGAATATTGAGGTTATATTATTACTTCTTATACTAGCATAAGAGGGAATATTATTATCTCTGATATTATTATAAGCACTTAAAATGTCTTTGCCTCTGCTGTTTACTCGACCCTCCTGATTCCTGCAGTCTACAATTGCCAGACTTCTCAGTTTTGACTACCTACGGGTATGGAGTCTACTACCTTTACAAACTCTTCCTATAGACTCCCCCTCTCTCGCTTCTTGAGACGTGTCCTGTGTTTGATTGAAAACAAACACATAACAACAAAAGTGCTCTCCTTCAAAGAGCAGAAGTAGGCTGAGTGACCAAAATAATACACACACATGCATCTGTGACAAGGATATGCAATGTATGGAATAGATTAAGAAAGTAGGGAGGGATAAACTTTATTGGCCCAGAGGAGGGATGAGAGAGTGAGCAGGAGAGGCTAGGGAAAGGTTAACCAATCAGGGTGGGGAAGCTACACTAGGACGATTTAAAATGTGCAACTTCGCTTTGAAGCCCCCATCATCCGATTTAGAGACAGATACATACAGTGAGACGCGGAGAGTCTGAAGTGAGTTTCACTTCGCAGGTGCCGCTACTCGTACCAGTTCTAGGGTTAGTAAGTCACACCAGCAAATGGCAACCGTCAGACAGGCTCTCTCTGGTTAGTGCAGGCAGGGTTTTCCATCCTGGGCTGCAGTGCGGCCCGCCAGGGCTCAGAAGGCATGCTTGTGAAGAACTCGCACACTTCCCGGTTCCCCACCTCCAATGGCAGCCAGCGTCTCCAGCCGGCTTAGACGTTCCAGGCTTCTTCCCAGGACTTCTTCCAGGCGGCCGCGTAACACCTGCGCCCCTTCCAGTTCCACCTGCAGGGTTCGGTCTCTCTCAGAGCTGATTAAACATGCCACACGGAAGGAAAATCGATTAGCCATGAATTGTAAGGAGCCCACATAAGTTTCCAAGAGCCATCAATGCCATTCTGAGCTGTGAGGCGTTCTGAAGGCATTGCTCTCCAGGCCCCAGTACATTTCCCAGGATATAGCCAGGTTGTGCCACGCTGGTCCTGGCACTTGTGCTCACCGTTGGTGGGCTCAGAAAGCCCCCCCTACTGTCATCGTGCCCCTTCCTGCTAGATCCAGGGCCATAACATTACAGAACCCACTATTGAGCTCATATGTGTGTAGTCCGCAGGAGAAAACGTCCACTGTTTGACTGAGAGCTTGGCTTCCTGGTAAACCAAAATGCAAGGAAAATGAAATGCAAACTGAAGTAAGACTGAGCCATGTAGGACCACTGTGGGAGGCAGCTGCTTGCTGTGATGTGAACAAACTAGCCCGGGCTCTGGACTGAGAGAGACTAAAGAGCCAGAGGTCCTTCAGAAAGTGACACGATCCGGCGGTCCTTTGGGACCCTGCCTCTGCTTTCACGTCCTTCCTTAGAATGAAGGGGAACAAAAGAACATTAAGCTAGAGGGCACTGAGTAGCAAAGGGATGCAAGAGCCGGAGAGAGAACGGGGGCGGGGAGGAAGGCAGAATGAGAAAACACAGACACGGAAGGAACAGGACACGAACCAGACATGTGTAGCGCACAGTACCACAAAATCACCAGTGACAAGGAACCATACATATCCTTCCCGAAGGTTAATGGCGCCCCAGGGTCACTGCCACGCCGCAAAGACCAGGGCCATTCATGGCCTGACTCTGAGAGCAGAGCCGTGACCAACAAGACGTGGCGAGGAAAGGCTTCTTACAGGCCAGCCCCTGGTTGAGACGCCTGACACATCTCTCATTCAAGCTTCGTGACAGCGAAGTAACCAGGTATTGCTCTTGACTCATGATTCATACACAATAAACGACAGAGGGGGAGCCCCGGCATGGTCTCTGCTTCCTTCTTCTCCCGCGTGCCCCTCAGTTTCACAGGCATCGGTACTCAGTGAGGACAGGGAGGGGACACAGCCCGCCACTCTCTTACCTCTCTGGGTGGGCGTGGAACTTCACCAGACTGCTGTAGAGCTGCCTCTCCGCTTGCAAGGCCTCATTGAGGCGACTCCGTTCATCCACCAGGCCTTCCAACATCAGCAGCAACTGGGGAGAGAAGGGGCCACACGTCAGTGGTAAAGTGGGTCACCAAGGGGCAGTTAACCCTGAGAGGAGAGGGGGGGCAAAAGAGGGAGCGGACAGTGAATCTCAAGCACACACAAGCCAGCCCACCCACTGCCTTCGCAATCTTCCTCGCTCTCTATAGCCTTTTCCAGCTTTCAAATCAATGACACGTGCATTATCTTTACTCTGGATCGCCCACCCTGTAAGACAGAATTTGAGCGGCGAGGTGGGGGGAGGGACGGGGGATGAAAGAAGTTAGGAGCAGAATAAAGCACCGGAAGGAATACGTTGGGAAGAGAAAGTGAGTGAAAGGAGGAGCCACACTTCCTAGTATTTTTGAATCACACCAGAGATGCTCACTGGACCCCTTGGCTGCGCCAGGCTCTGTGACCCCCTGGGGGACGGACGCGCACGCGTTTCTGCCATGAGTCACGGGGGGCTGTGCTGAGAGCATGAGGTGAGGGCAAGAGGGAGGACCCAGAGCTGGGGTAAGGGGGATTGTTAGCGAGAGAGATGACAATGGACACAGACCATCTGTAAGTGAGCCTCTTCCAAAGTGGGGTGTTCCAGGGAGGCTGGATATGGGGGTGTTGCAAAGGAATCTGACAGTGAGGCAGGGTTTGCTTTGAAAAACTTCCTTTTGAAGTTGGGAGAGGGTTTAACTTCACGTGTACGAGAAAGCTCTCACTAAGAAAGGACACTCACTAACTGTGTGAATACTAAACTGCTGCTCCCTGCAGGATGGTGAATTTAAAATTTTTAAAAAAGACATCTATGGCTGCTATGGACCCAGCGAGGAAATCCACCAGTTCACCATGAACTGCCGGCAACTGCCCAACCAGTTCGGAAATAAAGCGAGAGCTACCTTCGCAGTAAAAGGAAGGTTTGCCTCTGACTGCTTACTCGTTGCCTTCGGTTTCCTGAAGTTTCTTGACCCTGAGCCTCGACTGAAGCAACTTTTTCCCGAAGGAGCAAGACTTCTTGGGTCAGGCGTTCCATAGCTGGTATGTCTTCAGGATCAACCAGTTGCATTTGCAGGTCCTAGAAATAAAAAATAAACAAATTTAAGTAGAGTAACAAAAAACAATTCAGCAGAGGCACAAAGGACCTTGAAATATGAGGTGCCCTGCTTCCAACTGGGATTCTGATTATGTCTTTTTTTTTAAAGTGAAATCTTTGCCGTGATAAAACCAAACCAAACTCGCTGCCGTCAAGTCGAGGCTGACTCACAGCCACCTGACAGGACAGGGTGGGACGGCCCTGTGCGTTTCTGAGACTGTCACTCTTCACACGAGTAGAAAGCCTTGTCTGTCTCCTGAGGAACAGCAGGCGGTTCCAAACAGCTGACCTTGCGGTTAGCAGCCCAAATGTGTGACTACGCACGACACCTGCCACGAGGGCTCCTGTTTTGCCACCATCACACAAGTCAAATGGAACATGATGACACTGAGAGACTCAAGCAGCAGTGCATCAGGGACAACAGCACTGGCCAAGGGGCTCGGTGTTGTTTGAGGATGCCTGCTCGTCCTAGGAGCAACAATCATTTCCAAGATCTTTACAAAGAGTGCTGAAAGACCTTGATGAGGTCTTCTTTAATCTGGATGTTCCTGGTCAGGGACTCCACGTCAGCAGCCTGCACCTGCAGCTCCTCCTCCTGCACAGCCACCATGGACTGCAGGGCAGAGAGCTCCATCTGCGGAGAGAGGAAACCCTGAAGTCAGTGGACGCAGCAAATACTTCCCGTCACATCGTAACACTCTCAGGCAAAATGGCTCTTCTGTACCATATCCCTACAAGCCAGTTACTGCTACTCCCTGCATTCGAGTCTGTGCTGACTCACAGCCATCGCATAGGACTGAGTACCTGCCTCGGGGAGTTTCCAAAACTGTAACTCTACAGCAGTAGAAGGCCCTGTCTTTCTCCCTCAGAGTGGCTGGTGGTTTTGAACTGCTGACTCTGTGGATAGTAGCCCAATGCATAACCACTATGCCACCAGGAATCCAGTACTGTATGAAAACTGGACAATGAAAAGTACTTTAACTGGATCAAATCAATCAGCCGCACCGTGTGATATTAGTCTCTGACTGATGGCTTGGGGGCAGGGTTGTGATGCATGCTGTTGCTAAGGGCTGCTGGGTCGATCCCAACTTATAGTGAACCCATGTGCCGGACCAGAGTTGCCCCATGGGGTTTCCTGGGCTGTAGTCTTTGTGGAATAGCTGATCGGGCCTTTCTTTTGTGGAGCCATTAGATGGGTTCAAACCACCAATCTCTGACTTTGCAGCCGAGTGCTTCAGCACTGCACTACCAGAGTTCCTTGGGAAACAAAACCCCAAACCCACTGTAATTAGATTCTAGCTCATAGCAACTTATAGGACCTAGAACTGCCCAACAGGGTTTCAAGCCTATAAAACTTTACAGAAATACTCTGCAAACACACACACACACACATGCACACACACACACACACACACACACACAGCTGTAGTGACAGACAGCGACATCCTCTTCCTAAGGAATGGGCAGTGGGCTCAAACCATTGATCCATGGCTGGGCAATTGTGGCTAAGCTTTGGCTGCTACCAAGAAAGGCAGAGTCTGACCCACCAGGCACTCCGCTGGAGCGGGAAGAGGCAGGGTGCTCCTGTAAAGAGTCAGCCTCAGTTCCCATCGGTCCTGTCGGGTTACAGTGAGTCGAATAGACTCAATCCACGATGGGTTTGGATCTTCTTTTCCTTACAGGTCCCACGCAGTCCTAGACTAGTCTCTCTGGGGTTCTTGCTAAGGGCCGCTGGCGGACGTCGACTTGATCCCAACGCACGGCAGCCTGTGTGCCCAAAGCTAAACGCCCCGCCGCGTTGTCAAGGCTGGGCCCTATCAGAAGCAGATTGCTAGGCCTGCTTCCCAAGGAGCTTCTCAAAGGTGGATTTGAACAACCGATCTTTTGATGACTAGATTGGCTCGTAACTCTTTGTTCCACCCAGGGCCTCCATGTTTACAGTGTTGGCAGACAGCTACGGCCAGGTCTGCTGCAAGGATGAGCTATGGGTATGATGAGCTGGTCCAGCAGCCAACTGCAAACTGAAAGGTTGGCCTTTCTAGCCAATGACCATAAGCCCAGCAGCTCCCCTGCAGAAAAGATGATGGCCAAGAAATCCTTAAAGGGTCAGTCTGTTCTGTCACAATGGAAGACCGTGCACCCAAATCAAATCGACAGCACCTAGCAATGGTGGCAACTATTGTTACAACAAATCAGTAAGTGTTTTAAAGAAACCGTGGACGGTGATTTTAAAAAGTAAAACAGGCGTGACAAGTAAATACAGGTGGCACACGAGCGAGGCAGAGATGTGGCCATGCTTTGTGAAGGAAGCAGCACCTCTTCCCTTGCATAGACACAACAGAGACTATTAAACCTCACTGCCATTGAGTTGACCCTGACTCCCAGAAGGCCTGTATGTGGGTTTCTAGGCTATCAATCTTCAGGGAGCAGACAGCCTCATCTTTCTCCCAGGAACAGTTGGTGGGTTTGGATAACCCACCTAGGGGGTTAGGAGTGGTTACTAGACAGTACTGAGGGTTCCTAATTTAAGTTTAATAAAAACTTTGCTTGTGTTATCTTCTAATTCTACTAATGTTTACAGTATTACTCTGTGAATACATAATGACTTTAAAAAGACACAGCTACTAGATGGTTCAGGGCTACTGGGGCATGTTAGCAAGACTGTATTCTAACATTTCCTTCCATGTTGAAGGAGCTTCATTAGTGTAACTCCCGACTTCTTTCATTCCTTTGCTCATTCAGTCCTAAGGAGGTCTAAGGGTTTATCTGAACGGAACACAGGGGAGGAGTGAGCCAGGTGTGCTCGACGCATCCAACGCCCCCTCTTGGGAGGATGCTGTCGGCACAGAGCCCGTTCTCTCCGCTGCTTCTCCAAGGACAGACTTGCGTAGTCTCCCTGTGGTGTAATCTTCCTACCCCGGGGGATGCGCAATGGTCAGCGACCTGTGAGTAGTCAGGTAAGTCACTGACAGGCTGCGGTTAGGCTAGAAGGCCCACTTAGCTTGAATTGAGTTCTACACTGAAATCCTCATCAGGAATACATTTGAGAGCGCTTTGTTCAGATCTTGGCTGTGGAAAAGGGAGCTATTTAGCTGGCTTTCTTCACGGAGCGCTATCATGGGTATCCAGGCATTTGCTCCTCTGGGGAATGAAAACCCGAGGAAGGAAAATCGTTGCAGGGTGACAGAAGTGCCAGCACACGGGTCTGGGTCTACATCCCGGCCGAAGCTCCTTGACAAGGCATTTAAAGTGCATCTCCATTTCCTCAGTTATAAGGTGGGAATAATCTTTATTTTGCAGGGTTGCATGAGAATTATAGAAAACATGTTTAAAACTCCTGGCACATTGTAAGCAAACAATGAAGAAGCACCAACACTGCTGTTACTGCTACTGCTGCTATGAAGACAAAGGGGCTTCAAAAAGCTCATGGAAAATTCCATTAACTTTTCATTCAATTTCTTGTGAACTTTTTGAAGCCCTCTCATGCTGTATCAACTATTAGTATTACTGCTTTCCTTTTTATCTCAAGACCGTCAGAATGTTTGAAAATGTTTGAATTTTCAAAATGTTTGAAAATGCACCTGGCTTTTGGTACGTGTCTAATATTAGAACAGATGTGATCATAAATATATATACCAGTATAATGAGAGGTAGGTAGCTGCTTAAAGATACACCAAACAAACAAAAAATCCCAAATAAACTCACTGCCATTGGGTCAATGCCAACTCATAGCGGCCCTATAGGACAAGGTAGAAATGCCCCTAAGACTTTTCAAGACTATAAGGTTTTACAGGACTAGAAAGCCCTGTCTTTCTCCCTCAGAGTGGATGGTGGTTTTGAACTGGTGATCTTGTACTCAGCAGCCCAACTTGCACCCACTGTGCCATGAGGGCTCCTTGAGGATACACACAGGTAAGCAATATATCACTCACTCACAATAACAATTTCTATATAGGAGGGAACTGTTCTGCTCCAGGAAATGACTTCTGAGGTACTGTTTGCAGTCACAAAAGGCGTAACTCCTCGCTTTGGTATTGATAGTTTTCTAACTATGCCCCCCCCCACCCATGTTAAAAACAAATAGGTGCCCAAGCTTCTTCATCTACAAACCAGGGCAACCCCCACTGAGCTGGCACGCGTAGAGCATTTCACAGCGTGTACTACACACAGCTCGTCACCCAGGGTGAGCGCTACGCTGAGCACCGTCTCTCGAGCTCCCGTGCCAAAACCAATGTCACAGCTCTCCTGTGGCAATCCCACCCAGCGGGTACATGGCACCACATTTGTGACAAGCGCGCCTCAATTACTTGAACTTAGTTAGCATGGGTAGTGCTTCAAACGTGTTAATGATCCTTGTTTATAAAACAAGAGCATCCTGACGAGACTGGGGTAAGTGTAAGACAACGCCCATTTTCCCTCCAAACAAAAAAGCAATACTTTGCCCTCGGTCCCAGATATTATACTCGGAGAACTGCACTCTTTAAATGTCACCTATTTTGGAAGAAAAAGTTGGGGATTCGGAATTAGGCTTGGCAAGAAGACTCACCCGGCTCTCCCTTTCTTTTTTAGCCATGAGTTCCAGCTC